AAGGAAGGAAGGAAGGAAGGAAGGAAGGAAGGAAGGAAGGAAGGAAGGAAGGAAGGAAGGAAGGAAGGAAGGAAGGAAGGAAGGAAGGAAGGAAGGAAGGAAGGAAGGAAGGAAGGAAGGAAGGAAGGAAGGAAGGAAGGAAGGAAGGAAGGAAGGAAGGAAGGAAGGAAGGAAGGAAGGAAGGAAGGAAGGAAGGAAGGAAGGAAGGAAGGAAGGAAGGAAGGAAGGAAGGAAGGAAGGAAGGAAGGAAGGAAGGAAGGAAGGAAGGAAGGATTTTTTTTTTTTGCAATTTACAAAATTCCTAATGTGTAAATTGTCACGTCTACTGTTGCACATTATGTGATTATAATGTAATGATTTGGTCACTGTCCATGAATATATGACAAACTGAAATTACTCCTAACATCTAAAAAAGCAGCAAAAATGATAACTACTGTTCTACATATTTGAAAAGCAATCCATGAGTAATTTACAAACCAAAAGTTCTCCACTTAATTAAATTTGTTGCAAAATTGTGGCAATTTTTCATTTAAAGGCAGCTGAAATTGACTGAAAAGGGTACTCTTACAAAATAGGTTTTAGTTTAGATCTGTACCAACTTCTGAATAAAAACATTGTACAGTTCAGGTTTGTGTGAATCACCTTAGCTGCAACTTGTTCTGTCTTTTAGGGCCCTGTCATAAAATACAGGAAACATTCAAATCAGAGAGAGGAGAAAGAATCACAACAGCAACGCGTGTAACACACACCTGTTTCTTCCCGAGAGTGGATTACAGTCAGTACCTTTACCAATACATTATATTGCAAGAATGAAGTAATAACTTTACTTAAAATAATTTACATTCTATTTTACACTTTGTGCAAATAATAGGTTAAAATGCATACTTTGTATTCAGAGGTACTCTTTTTTTTTTTTCCCCCAGTACACATTGTTGAGATTCAGAGTGTTTCTGTTAAGAACAACTTTGAGCTGTACAAAGCTAACATAACTGAGGTCCTCAAATTTTGTAAGTAACCCCAAGTCTACAAACTAGATGGTTCAGTTACTGAACATTTTGGAGAACTTTTAATGTAATACCATGGTTATTATTTGTTCTCAAGACGGAGATCATCATGTGAATAACAGATCTGTTCGAGTGTTTGCCAGGAGGCTTCACTGCAAAGGGGAGTTAGAACTAGGAAAACAATATCTCATTATGGGCAAAGACGGCTCTACTAAAGACTCTAATGGACAGTAAGTATAATCAAATACATCAATGAAATTACAAATCCAAACTGACTGAATTACTCTCCACTCTCTGACTTTATAGGATGCAGTATCTGCTGGAATCAAACACCTGGGTTGAAAAAAGGCCACTGGAAGACGACTGCAAAAAATCTGTTAATAGACAGAGTTGTAATTACTTTAATGATTTCATAGCAGAATACAAGAAAAGAGGCTGCACACAGTAAAACAGATTCACAAATCTGTTAACTTGCACTGCAAATCAGATACAGCTGATTGCTGAAGTTACAGTCAGATTAGAGGGCAAGGGATCTTTTTTTAAATATCTGTAAAGTGTTGTCTTCCTAATATGATGTAATGAACAATCCCAATCATCTATCCAGTATATGCACTATTAAACATACAATAGGTGTGTGGCAGATTCATCCTAACTCTACATGTTTGTTATTCAGTAGTAACACATACAAAAAAACTTCCACTTCCTTATGTCCAGTTCAGTTACAATTTACAAATGAATTAAAATAATTGACAATTTTGTTGAGCAAATGCTTTTGTATGTTTATCACTGCTTGTACACACTGAGATGAAACTCAACATAGTGTAGTAACAGAACAAGAGAGGCTATTTAGAAAGGTACATTTGTTCTTTCATGCCTCTCCCATAAGTAAAATTCAGTTTGGTTTGGATTTAGCTTTCCTGTCAAATTTATTTATTTTTTAAATGTTTTCTTTTACTTTTACGGGCAGCAAAGACCCTGAGAGGGATCTTTGTACTCAACCCAACTCCAGTCAAAGTAACCCCCTTCCTACCTAACATCTGCAAGGAGGTGGGAAGGTGTGGTTTTGGCTACATGAAACTTATTGACCTGCTCCTATTGGAAGGAGTATCAATCATACCCCTCATAAGGATGAAAATTACCTTTGAGAGGAAATGTTTCTTCTGAAATATGGGCAGAAAGCAAACGTGATGCAGAAGGTACTCAGTCAGTGCAATTACATAATTCAAAACTAGGGTCGGGGGTGGGAGTGAGGAGCTTGTTGCTGAGGAGGCATGAAACAAGTAAAGACTTATATGCCTACAGTATATTATTCTAATCTCTGAGTCCAGGTCCAATGTAAACTACATGTGGGAATGACCATCACTTCAATCACAGCTAGGTAAATGCCTGCCCTGTTTCAGTTTAACCATTAGTCATTTCAATAAAGCCAAATTAATAAAGGGTAAATAAATATGCAAATATCTCAAACATTTTGGTGTACTGTCAGCAGACATCATTTATGTGATGAGGAACTTTTGACTGAAACCTCTGTAAATAAGTAATGTCTAGTCACGAGTGACAAGAGGGCACTTGTATGCTTTGATTAGAACCATAATACACTAAAATGGCTTTTTTTTAAAGGCAGAAGTTTGTCAGGAGCTATATTTTACATACAACAGCTATGTTTTTAAATAAATTTGATTATGATTTGATTTGGTTTAGAGTTGCTACAAATGTGAAACTTTTTAAGAAAACGTATTGATTAAGATGCTGGCCTACCCCCAAAATAGCAGATGTGTTCAAAGTGTCTCTGAGAGCTTGCTGGAGAAATGTGTTTGTATGATCAGGTGTATTTTCTCAGGTGTGCTGCGCAGAAGTTGAAGGTGTGAAAGTCGTGTCTTCAGCTACTTTCCAAAGGCCAGGACAGGGTCAGTGGAGTGAGGGTGGTCTGTAGTGCTGAAAGGACTAAAAGTGAAGGCATGACGGCTACCAGAAGCTGCTGCCGAATAGAGGGGGACCACCCACTCTGGACTACGCTCATTTTGTATTTCTTCAATGGCTGTTATCAGTGTTTCCATCCATCCATCCATCCATTATCTTTTACCCGCTTATTCCATTTTTGGTCACAGGGGTTGCCGGTGCCCGTGTCCAGCAATCACTGTGCAAGGGGCGGGGTGCACCCTGGACAGGTCGCAAGTCCATCACAGGGACACATAGAGACAAACAACCATTCACTCTCTCACGCACACCTAAGGACAATTTAGAGTTACAATCAGCCTAACATGCATGTTTTTGTTCTGTGGGAAGAAACCGGTGTACCCCGAGTAAGCCCACACATGCACGGAGAGAACATGCAAACTCCACCCAGAAAGGCCCCCGGACCAGGATTTGAACCAGGGACCTGTTCGCTAAGAGGCAGCAGCTCTACCAGTTGCGCCACCGAGTTGCCCGTTATCAGTGTTTGTCACGGACAATTTTCAAGGATGTCACAAGAGCCAGTCAACCGGCACGCTGCTGGTGATCCAAATTGGATCGTCAGCCATGTTTGTCTGCTGACGCAATCAAAAGTCCGACACCGACCTGGCCCACCCATCAAGCACATTATTTTGACCCCTAACCCGAACCCAGGCCGGGCCCGGATTAGAAATGACAGCTCTAATCCCCAAATGCCTATTTCGGCCTAAAATATCGGCCTCACCGATATATCGGTCAGGCTCTAATTATAAGCTTCCTTCTCTACTACAGAAATCTGTCAACTTTGGAAATTTTTTAATATTTTATAAAATCATATTTTTCAAGCGGCAGCACAGTGTCACAATTGGTAGAGCTGATGCATCTCAGAGAGAAGGTTGCGGGTTCAAATCCCAGTTCGGGGGTCTTTCTGGATGGAGTTTGCATGTTCTCTTCATGCATGCGTGGGTTTTCTCCGGGTACTCCGGTTTCCTCCCACAGACCAAAAACATGCATGTTAGGCTGATTGGTAACTCTAAATTGTCCCTAGGTGTGAGT